ATTTTATTGATTATGAAGGAAACATTTGATGGTATTACACTTGTACCAAAAAAGTATCACCTTTATACGTTTTTGAAGATAAAAGATGTTAAAAAAGAATCCCTATATTCTACAAAAATAAAGTATATTTTGTTGATACACTCTCAAGACGAACATATTTTTGGGACACAGCAGTACCATGTGGATCAGAAAAAAGCCACAACGTTTTACAATTAAATCCCGACGAAGATAAATATTATCTATTAACACCATACCCAACAATAATGCCACCATTAAAAAAGTTCTCACCTGAAAGCATTCGAGCTATAGCCCGCAATCCAAATATCGAGTTACAATTGATAGGTATAAATTCAAAATCAGACATACAGCATCACAAACGTACACAACAATTTCAAGAACTAATTACGAAAATGGACACAATACAACGACAATCAATAGATCAAAACTTACGAAAACTTTCAGAAACATCAGGGTTTTCACATATTTACGGACAAGATTACAGCGGATATTTTAAAGACATAAAATATCAACCACAAGATATATCACCGATCAATATTTTTAGTTTTGTAAATCTCAAAAATGAAGTTTTAGCCTTTCTAGGATGGCCACACTACAACTTAGAAAGATTGACTACCTTATACGCTATGTTTAACTTTATTGGATTTCTTCTCTCATTACTAAAAGGAATGTATAACAAATGCGCAATACATACACAAGTAAACCGACAAGCAAGCGTAGCACGCATATTATTTGCAGGATTTTTTGGAATATTTTCATCAACAATAAACAAAATCCTCTTAGATGCACAAATAAAGGAATATGATACAAAACTATCAACAAATCTCAACACATACGACGAATCAAAAAACAATAATAATACAAACGCATTACCCACAGCACCACATTTACCAAACCTCCAATTTAACCATCCATTATCATTAGTCTCACGAAATTTTAGGAACTTAGCAATCGCAAACCCCCCAAACTTAAGACCCAGTCATATAAAAAGCCCCATCCAACATATTGTGACACAAAACCCCACAATTGACGATACATACGAACAAATCATTGAACAGCCCCATACCACTACTTTTCAGTCTCAAAATAATCATATTTTTTTAGCCCACGATGAGCAGACAAGTTGGATCACTCCATCGATCAAACTCCCACCCTGCCAACCTCCAAAATCCAATCCCTATTATCCCACTTTTTGCTTTTTCGCCACCTGATTCACCACAATTTAACAGATCATCAGGCATGAATTCTGACACTAACTCAGATATCACAATTTATACAACAATTTCACAATTCAATAATTCTGATATAGAAACTCCCGATGAGTTCGCAGATTCTGAACCATCCCCTTCTACTCATACCCAGACCAGCTCAACAACCTTCTCAAAACCTCCCTTCCGATCTATCCAACCCCAAAGCCAACATACATCTCCCTACACTCCTTCTCAAGTAACCCCAACCTACTCCCCATTCAATAATGAACGCTCCACCAACAACTCCCCAGATAATATTCAAATTTCCGAAGAACTAGATAATTTTATAACACTTCAACAACAATTGCTATCTCCCCGCACTCTAACCAATCACCAACTATCATCAACAATCACATCATCAAATCCACCAACACCTACACCAATTTCAGATTATACTCCTTCATTAGCTCATTCACCCACATCAACAGAAACATCCACCAGTACTAATCGTGCTTATCGAACCTTTAAACGTAAATTCCCAAATCACCCATTCCCATCCAAACCCGCAACCGCCCGAGAATATATCAACCATCCAGACCACACCAATACTACGAATTTTCTTCAAATAACCGTACCTTCATTTCCCCAATATACACTAAATCAATCCGACCCTAACCCTGAACCACGTCACTTTGTAGATGAACATGTATTAATACCCACACTTCATTGGACAGCTTATTATAATTTCACTAACCCCTTTACGCTACCACTCTATAACACCACTACAGATATTGAAAGAAATAAGGACGAATTATTCACATTAACCACAGCACTCACCCAACGACAATTTACATATGTAGGATATAAAAAATTACTAAAAACATTCACTGCACCCCGAGCTAACGACTTTTCAATTGAATATTATGTTCATAACATCATTGGATCTAATCAAGACCAGTTTTTGACGACGATCCACAACTCACAGAGAAATTCTTTATAAGAACACCTTACTTATTCACACTTGACATCTTAGATAAAAAGCATGATCACATTGTTTCAGAAGCACTCTCAGATATTCAGGCATACGAATCATTTCACGAAAAGTTTCAAACATTTTCACTAACCTTTCATTTTCTCACACCAAACGAACGTGATCTGCACTGTTCACACGACATCATGTTACGAACTAAACAAACGCACACCTACACTTATTATCGATTTATTCAAAATCATTTTCATTTACACACACCATCGCGACAACCCCACCACAGATTTCAGTTCATCAATTCCAAATATACATCACCATTTTTTCTAAACTTTACGTATTGTATTAAAAATACTAACCTTCAAGGCATCCTCCGCAATTACGACCCGATCACCCAGATGTTTATATTTTGTCCCCTCGCCAAGACTTTCAGCGACGAAGAAGCCCGTTCCTTAATAGTCCCGCATGAATATATACAACCTATAGAAGTACCCATTTTAGAATTCATCTATAACACTAAATACAATCATAAAATTTACAATCTAATCCAAAAAACACCTCATGAATTTGCAGTAGGCACCGAAGAACTAAAAACCATCAAAGCACTTCAATTGCTTTGGCCACTGATGCCAACTAAAATTATCATACGCATACTAGCAAAATTACTAACTACATAAGACGCTATTCACGATGTTTTCCCTCACGGCTTTTTCCCGACAACTAAAGGTAAGTTTGAATATAAAATTTTAATAACTAACTAATTTAAAATCAATACTAACCATTCTTTATAATTAAATTACATTTTCTTTAGTCTTCACCCATGATCACCTACAACAAGAAGAAAAAAACAAATAAAAATACAGTCTCTTTTTTCAGCAAAAACTCTACTAAATCTATAGCACTGAATGATAGAGTAAAATTCAATTCGAACGCAATAAATTAATAATTTCCCTAAATGTAGTAAGATCCAATACGATGAAAATCAATTTATAATTTTCAAATCCCCACAAAGCAGTAAAATTTAATATTAAAGTAGTAAATTATACAAAGAAACGCAGTACGATTCTTTTATTCTCTTCTGTTTACTCGCACAAGAATTCTATCCACAATCGCACAACTTGCCCACGAAGTATTGTTTAAAATAATGAATTTTGAGTTTTAAGTTTGCACTAACAACAACTCAAACAAGCAATAACAAGTTTCCAACTTTCCTTTAACCCGGTTGGAATGGAATTATATAATAACCAAACTAACCAATGCAGCAAACTAAACACCATAAACCACAAACTAACAGCATGACTAAGAAAAGCATTCCTACGGTACCCAAGTCGGATTAAACCAACTTAAAACTGGATAGTTTATTCTTTTGAGGACTATTATCAAGTCTAAAAAAGAAATAATAAAACACCAAAAAGTCGCAAAACAAACCCCAACAAAAAACAATTTGATTTTTGAGAAAAGGACACAACCAAAGTAACAAAAGGAAAACTAGAAATATTATAACAAAAATGTTAGCACAAAATGATCTTCACGCCATTCCCAGATAAGAATGATACTCGATCAGTTCTCCACCCAAGCAGAACAAACAATCATAGCAAACCATTTTGAAATCGCAGTCATCGTCGAACAAACAACTAACAAGTTCATGTCAACCATTCTAGCTTCCTGGAGTTTTTTTCTCCACGAACAAAACAAGAAATGATGCTCGCCAAATAACAACGACCATCATCCATCCTTCATTACAGATAGAAGATCTAAGATTCAAAACTCTGTAAACGCCAGATGGGTGGAACCAGATCTAAACTATATTTTTATTATTGGTTATAAATTGGATATGTTATCACTATTAAATATTTAATATTAACCAATCATGATCCATCTAACTAACAACTCACTTATTTATAAGTGCTGAAATTTCATCACCAGAGAGATTTGAATTTAACTTAGAAATTAGTTACCTCTTCAAGAGACCTTCCAGCAATCGCAACAAGCCAGTATACTCTTAAACACCCTGAGACTAGTAGATATAAGAGTAAGATTAGGATCGGTATAAGACTAAGAAGTTGCACGAATCTATCCGGCCGAAAATAAGATAGCGTGACGAGCAGACCGTGTACCCTATCCGAAGTTACTCTATGAGTTACACTTCGGTCTTAACTCAAGTAGCATACATAGCTACAACGTTGATGGTTGCCAGACTGAACCCCGGTAGTTCATTATTTTTGCTCATTTTGATAAGTTTTTTTATTGCTATTTCATAAAAATAAACTCTATCACTATTCATACTAATTTCATGAAAATCAGCCAAGTTAGCAATAACCTATCGATAAAATTTGCTTTTGTGTCAATAATTCATCAATGGGGCTAATTGCTAATTTTCAACATGAATTCATTCCAGGCTTTCTTTCACAAAATGATTTCATAATAATGAAGAGAAGTTTCCAAAAGTCTATAAATTTTCAGAAAGTTTTACAATTAATGAAAGCAAAAACATATGTAATCGTGATCGAACAGTTACTGAAGTGTCAAAAAATGCTAAGTCAATGCTAAATGAAACAAAATTAGTATTTATATTAACATTCAATTCAAACATAAAATATTGGTAAAATTAATAAATAAATTTGTAATTTCTTTGAGATTAAAATAGATTTGCCAAACAAAGTTGTGTGAAGACGAACTGAACGTTATTATCTTTTTAGAAATCGTTACCCTTTCTTTTCAAAATCTTTTAATATGTAAAGCAGCAATCCGCATTTTTTCTCAATAAGCATTTTTTTCTCCATTTGAATTGAAAAATGTAGGCTCAAGTAAAAAAAAGTGATTCTGAAAATAATGTTTATTAGGGTAGCAACATTTTAAAAAGCAATGTTTTTGTTAAATTTTTTGATTGTTTTTGTTGTTGTTGCTTTTGCGAGGTGAAATGTGTTTGGCGATTGCGGATGAGAAGCTGCGCTGTTGTTGCGACTGATGTCTAGTCTGGTCTTGATTGTACGTGTGCGATTTTTTCTTTGATGTGTTGCGTAAACTGCGTGTTCTGAAATGAAAGTTAGTTTTTTATTCAGAAATCAAAAAAATTTAAAATAAAATTTTTGAATGAGTTATTTTGTGATCACTTTTTAATTGGATTAACTTTGACTATCAATAGTATCTTTGGACTGTTGCGTCCTAGAACTTGAGTTTTGTTGAGAACTTGAATTTTTAGGAAGCGAACTGGAAAAACGGGCGGAATATTCTAGAAAATAGTGAATCACTTACAATTGCACGATGCAGCAACAAATTGCTGAAACAAAAAGAAATAAGTTTTTGTGTTTGAAATTGATTTACAGTTTGGTTTTCAAAATTCTCACCAGAAATGCTCCTAGTTTCTTCGTCCAAGTTCTCGTCGACTTCATAGGACGAAACTAAAAGCAAACATTTTCTGTAAACTCAAACTCCCATAAGAATTCAGCGTTTTGCATTTTGATTTACTTCTTAAGTTTGCCGCTTACTTTGGGGGGGATGAGGATATCGTTCAATTGGTTAGTTTGGGGGGGATGTTAATTGTTCAACTTGAAAATGGAACGCCGTGAAAAATTACCGAAGGGGAAAGTTTCAGCGATCTGAGGGGTCAAATCCCTGCGAGGGGAGCATCTTATCCTCCCCCAAACCGGCTACTCTGCTGTTCGGGGTTTGGGGAAAACTCTTAAATTACTAAAAGTAAAAGGATTTAGGGGAGGGTTTCCCCCATTGTCCATCATTAACCTATTATGATTAGTATAAAAAAAACCAAGCGTATGTTTATATTTTATTTCTACCTTTCTTTTGTGTCTCGTAGTCAGAATTATTCAGTTCTTCTTCCATGTATAAATACACAGTGGAACCCTTTGCAGTTCCTCGCTGATTCAGTTTCTTCGTCCAGCCGAGTCAAATTGCGACACGACACGTCCATACTCTCCTCGGATATCGTGTCCCACTTCAAAGTCGACTCGGGTGAACTTAACAAAACTCCCGAGTTGTCGTGACCCGAGTCGATTCGTATTAAGTCGTGTAGTTTAGAGGCTCGATTGGACTCGTCGTGATCGAACTGCCGAGATTTGAACTGCTCCTCGAGACATGTTCGCTCGTAGATTAAGTTTTTGGTCTGTTTTTCAAGTTTGTTGATTGTGAGCGTGTGATGTTTACTTTCCTAAAAAATTTTATCGATACTTGTTCGGTTATTTTTGAAATTACGCTGGTTTTGTTAAAGATAAACTTTCAATTCTGTTGTATGTAAGTAACACGGGGTTTCGGGCTCAAAAAAATTTAAGTTGATCTTTAGGAGGCCGACGAAGTTATTTGTAAGAGCTCTCTTAAAGCACCATTAGGACAAAAATTATCTGCGCCGCGTGAGAATTGTTTAAAAAGCAGGCAATATGTTTTTTTTGGAAAGTTTTGATTGAAAAGTTTTGAAGAGGGGTGAACTTTGATTCTCCGACAAAACTTTTTGAAGATCGTATTGCATACAAACACGAAAGAAATGGTAAAACTTTCGTGATCAATGAACGGCTATAACTCTGTTTTTCCATAGAGAAGCTCTTTGAATCGAAAACTTTGCTTTCTATAGGGTAGCTGATCTTTGAGAAAAACTGGAATTTTGTTTTACTTGAGCCATTTCAGCCACTCATTGATGACCAAAAGTGCAAAACGATCTTTTACAAAGCGATAGACAGACTCTCTCAAAAAGCTCTATACACCATATTTTGCCTAAATATGCTGCGACGCAGGGGTTCGTTTTTGAAAAAGCTAACCAAAAAAAATAGTACCTTTGAGTGGCCGGGGTTTGTGTTTTTTGGTTGTGAATGATGAGATTTTGCGATTCAATTTGCATAAAAAAACCAATAGACTTATTCACATAACTAAAAAACCTAATTCAGTTGTTAAAAAGAAAAATTAGGAGTAGATATATGAGCTGATAACCTTTTGATAGTCGGCCAATTTGTCCTTGAGTGAGGTGTTCTTGGCGTCCAGTCTCTCCAGCTGAATTCTGAGTTTAATCAACTCGTGTTTGTGCTCACCTGCCATCTGCAGCTTCTCCCTCTCACTCTGTTCACGCGTCTGATCCAACAGCTTCTCATGGCCAAGTCTCATGCTCCTAAACGCACGAATCAAATTAGTGTACACTGGCAACCAAGGCGCCCTTTGAACAGTTTCAAGGTCACTCTACCGGAAACAGATGTCATAAAATAATACCAAAAATGTAAAGATACAAAACGTTTAGTTCTGTTAGCGACATTTCGTAAAAAATTTGGCTAACAGTGTGTAGCCTAGTTTCATGTCTAAATGAAAATTGTATATTGTATACTTCCAAAGTAAAGTATAAGATCTTTGCCAAGATCTTTGCTAATTCTGTTATACAAATATGTTTTTTGTTCCGACTTTCGAGGAACGTGACGGAATCATTGTGCTCGGGGTCAGAGCCGCATTTAGGGGGTACGCCCTCCTTCCCCCAGGGAATCGACCACCTGCCAACCCATAGTGTCCCCCCTTTGTAATACTCATCCATTGTTGGCTGAGAGACCCTAAACTTTTCTAAAGGCGCCTTCGGCGCCAATATATACTAATTTTGACGGGGGCCGCACCAATAAGGACATTTTTTGGTCAACAATTTCAAAAGAGCGCCTAAGAACGTTTTTCTTGCCTGTTTTTTAAAATTTTGCCTGCGTCGCAGAAAATTTTGCTAAAACAGGGTCTTTTTAGTGCTTTGGGAGAACTCGGAAAACAAATTTGATTGACCTAAAAAAAAGATCGACATTTTTTTTCGAATTTTAAAAAAGATCGATTTCAAATCTAAAAAAAGGAATTTTCACCTGTGATTATTTTTTGTAAAGTTAAAAAATATTTCACTTGATATTTCACTTTGTCAGTTTTGCCTTCGATTGTCAGTTTTGCCAAACAGGTGATAATAAATACACGGTATATTCCGAGCTATAAACGCCTCAGCTTTTTCTTACAAATAGTTCCATATAGAATTAAGGTGTTTTTATTTGCATTATATATCGCCCTCTTAGGACTTTTTTTATATGCAAAATATTTCACTTGTATTTTATATAACGCGTAGAGGAAAGTTTTGCAAAAAAAAACAAATCTCAAAAATCAAATTTAGGTTTTTGCGTTTTTTGAGAGTATTTAAGTAAATTCCTTTTAATGTTTCGTTTCCAGTGTTGCTAGAAGTTTGCAGGTCCTTTTTTAGTAGTGATATGTTTCTCTCAAATTTTCCTATGTTTTGTTGTTTTGCGTCATCCAATTCATCCTCTTTCAAAATTTCCGTAAGCTCTGTTTTGTTCGGACTTTCGAAGAAAATGACAGAATATTTGTGATCGCTGTAGTTTAGCCGTTTTTAACAAAAACAATTTATTTCTTCCGAAAAATATTGTTATTCTAAGCTCAAATCTAAGAAAAGACATTTCACTTGTAAAGTTATAAGGTTTTACAAATTGTCGATTTCGCCAAATTTAGACTATAAACGTACGGTATATTTTGTGCTATAAACACCTCTTTCTTAGAAACAGGTCCAAATAAATTCAAATGTTTATATATGCCTTATATATGGCCCACTTGGGACTTTTGTATAAGCAAAATAATTCACTTTGTATTGCGCATAGGGTGTGGAACAAAATGTTGCAAAAAATCAAATATAGTTTTTTCAATTTTTTGGGTGAACTCCCTTTATTGTTTCGTTTCCAGTGTTGCTAGAAGTTTGTAAGTCGTTTTTTTTAGTAGGGGTGTTTCTCTTGGTATATCTCATGTTTTGTTGTTTTCCATCATCCAATTTATCATAATTCAAGATTTCCGCAAACTCTTTTTGTTCCGACTTTCGAAAAAAAAATGACGAAATGTTTGTGATCAGAATGGATTTTTTTCTTCAGACAAATTTTGACTTTTAAACTAGAAATTTTTGATGGATTTAAAAAAAAGTCTTCCAAAAATCATTTTTGTCTTCAGCACAATGTTAAAAAGATAATTGACCTATGATCATTTTTCGTGAAGTTATAGGAGGGGGGGGGGGGGGGGTAAAACAGTGCCAATGTGGCCAATTTCGGACAGTTAACGCACGATTTATTTCGTGCTTGTAACGCGTACGCCGATATTTAATATGTATTATAAACTGCTTCCAAATTGAATTGAGGCATGCTCTTTGGTCTATTCAATACTTTGCTATATACCAAATATAACACTTTCCACTTTACATAGATAGCGTGACACATCTTTCAAATGCATCAAACTTTGAAAGTTTATTTTATTTTAATTTTCTCCATTCAAATTAAAACGTAGTCGGAACATTCAGAGCTGATACGAGCAGTTTCGTTCCTAACAAAACTTCTTCATTTCGGAATTTAAAAAACTTGGTTGAATATTTACGTACACTTTAAAATTTCAAAGCGTGCGAGTTTTCGTTCTATTGATTCCGTCTTTCTAAATAGGTTCCTATGTGGTCTCCGTTTTTCTAAAGCTATCTGATCAAATGAAAAATTTTGATCATTCTGGCAAAGATTTTTTCTACATGACAACCTGGGGTCTTTTAGTGAAGCTTTACAATTTGATGAGAGCTTCTCACACGCAGGGAGTTTGTTCCTTTTCCGGCTTCTTAATCCTTATCCTAAGTATCGCTTGTCAATCTTCAGTGGGCTCCGGCGGATACATTTTGTATGTTTGTGCTTTTTGGCGCAAACTTAATGACTTCATGGCAAATTAACCGGAAATGTTTTTGGGAATTTTATTTTCATCAAATTTCGGCGGGCGATTTTTTCTGGCGGGCGATTCAAAATCGAATAATGTAAAATAATGACAAAGAGGCAACTGTAGGGACGGCAAATGAAAAGATCGCTCTGAAAGCGCCCCTGATTGAACTTATTGTAAGATAAATGTAGATGTATGTCTATTTAAAAAAAACTGTGTAAGCCAGTGCATCCAATTCAATACCTTGTTCCTATCTCAATCATAGGTTAGTTTGAAAAATAAAAAAATCTGTCTGGCCCATACGTGCTCCTCTGGCCCATATGTGAACAATTGAAAAAATGAGCTCACTGCAGTTGTTGTTCGTGGTGCAGATGCAGTCGCTCCAGCTGAAGATCAAAATCCAGCTGGTTGTGTTCCTGCTGTTCCGCATAATCTCTCATCGCTTGCTGATGGGTGGACAACGCGCACTCCATGTCGCTCAGCTCGTCCCTAATTATTTCACAACAACTAAGGAAAATCCGTATTTTTTGCACGAGAGAAAAAATGCGTAGATTGTAAACGATCGAATCTGATTGGTTGAAGTTGAACATGTCGCTGCAGCATAGTTTAAAAAAACGCGTTCGAACTAGCTACAAGCAGCTTTTGGGCAACTTCGGGCAGAAAAAAACTTCGGGCGGAAGAAAAGACTCCATACTCATATATAATATTTTTTGTAGGTTAAGACATTAAAAACAAAACTCTACTCTAGTAAAAACTAACTTGGAGAAGTCCAGACTGATCTGGAACAGGTAGAGTGCTACAGCCGCTGAGGGGTGAACTTCAATGCCCTCGTCCGACATTCTCTGCAGACACCTGAAAAATGAGTCATTCAATAACTTGTCATACATTGATACCGTTTTTAATTAAGTTCATACTGAGTTGTCGGAACACTGACAATTTTTCTTTATCCAACTAAGACATTTATGCCTAATTTAAGCCATTTAAAATAGTTTATTTGTGTCTAATTTTAGTATCTCTCGAGTAAAATTAGTTGCTGGAGTTTTTTTATTGCCAGTTGGGAAAATTTTTGATTTTTTTTAATTTTTCAATTATTTTTTTCTTTTTCTTGTAATTCAACAAAAACTATTTTCCATTTCGCCTATTTTATAAGGAATATCATATATGCCTAAATTCTACTTTTTTGTTCAGATCCTCTTATCACGCCACACAGAAAAAAGGAGACTACTTTTCTCTTTTTTAAAGACTATCTATGGTCGGAACATTCTCTGCTACTTGCACAATAATTAGCTATCCTTGTTTCTAGTTTGTGAACACATCTGAAATTGTTCAAAAAAAGTGTCTATAAGAATCAAGGAAAATTTGTTCTTGTATCGTGGACTGCAGAGAAACTATGACTTAGGGAATTTTTCACCTGATTTTGACACCTTTAACTGCAGCTAAATGTGTCATCACGATGAAGCGCATTCATTCTTGGCTTGAATCCCCCATCAAAAACTTAGAAAAAAATTATCTCATTGGTGACACTAGCAGATCCAAACTTCAGATTAAACTATACAAAATTTGATGAAAAACTGAGCACCCAATTTATTGCATGTGCAATTTTTACACTAAACTTGCTACTATTATTTCCAATTAGTGCTGTTTTTACTATGTAACTCAATCAACCTCCTACTACAATAAAAATGCAGAAACTTGAAGTAAAAGTTTTGAAGAAAACTGTTGCTTGAAGTAAGAAGAAACTCTTGTTAAAACCTTTTAGAAAACCTGCTTTGAACTATTCGTTCAAAGGGAGAAATTATCGGAAATCTGCAATACTGATTGGAATTTAAATTAGAACATACCGTTTTTTAGTTTTTTTTTCTAGCGCAGCTGTAATCTCTCGATATCTAACAACATAGAGGTCAGCTTTCTTACCCTCCTCATAATCCTGAGCTCGACGGGGATGAAATGGAAATTAGTAACTGGAAGCGATTTGATTTCATTTCATGAAACATCCCTCACAGAGCGCCCATGGATTCTAATCGATTATAATGGATTTCCGAGACAAAACTAATCCATTATTATTCATTAAAGATCTAAAATTCAGACCACGAAATTGATAATACATCAAAATCTACGATTTTTTTTGGAAAGCAATCAATTATTTTTTCCAGAATAATCCATTATAATTGATTGTTTTTGAATTAAAAACTCATTATAACCCATTATAATCGATCATAATCCATTTTAGTTTGAAAATTAAATTTGATTATTTCTGCAGAAATTTTGCAAGAAATTAGGAAAATGTGTGCCATGTGTTTTACTAAATGCTATGTCTCAACGTCACCCCTCAAGTTTTTTTGTACCTCATCCCCAACTAAAGGAAGAAGGTAAACTGGTGGGGGTAAAATGTTGGGGGGAAGTGTCAATCATTAACCCCCTCCCCTAAAGTCTACCAATAATTAATCCCCCCATGTTCAACCACAAGGGGGGGGGGGGCGAATGGAGCTTGTGGTTAACTGGCAGGGGGGGGGGGGGTTTAGGCGGGAGAGCTAATCTGGGATGAATTTCAAAAGAGAGAAAAAAAAATTTTAATGTGAAAAGTAACATTTTATGAAAGGCAATACGTAGTGCACTAAACAGGAAATGAGGTAACTTTGAAAAAAGTTAAAAGTTGTAAGTTTCCAGATAAACCTCTCGAGAAATCCATTATAATCAATAATAATTGATTATAATGGACCATATTGGCTTAAAATATCAGGGACGGGTTTGGAGGGGGGGGGGGGGACGCACCTTCTCTTCTTCTCTCCTCATGGATTGTACCCCCTGCCGACCCAAAGGGTCCCCCTTTGTACTATTTTGAAATATTCATTTTTGTTTGCGGACCCTAAAAAAATCTAAAGGCGCCTTCGATGCCAATATATACTAATTTTGAGGGAATTCCCTGAATACGCCTTTTTTGGCCTGTTTTTCAACATTTTGCCTGCAGCGCAGAAAAATTGAACAAAACAGGGTCTTTTTAATGATTTGGGAGAGCTCGGAAAATCAATTTGGTTGACCTAAAAAAAAGGTCGACAAAATTTTTGACTTTTTTTTGAAAATCTGCAGCCCTCGAGAAAATCCTAGATTGGCCCCTGATTTTAAACCATTTTTAATAGATTGAATTCGATTTTAGTGTATAATAATCACATTAAAAAAATTTAGGATTATAACCAATTTTAATGGATTATAATCGATTATTTTGTAATTTTATAAATACTGACATATATGACAATGTAATCGATTATGCTCCATGGGCGCTCGGTGTGGGATGGGACAAATGCAAAGGCAGAAGGTCTTAAGAAACGAATTTTCCATAAACCATAACTACAACGTGGTTGGGCGACAATTTGTAACAGGCGACAATTCGTAACAAGCGACAAGTCGTAACAAGGACAGCTCGTAACAAGGCCTTGACAAGTAGAATGCGCTTGCTCAGCTTCGCTCCGCTGCGCTTACATCCGGCACGAGAGGAATATTGCGTGTGAACCAGTGTCCCCCCTTAATCTACCGTTACAAATTGTCGCATGTTACGAATTGTCGCATAACGCTACAACGTTGTAAATCCCTAACATAAGGACAGAGCTAGACAAAAAACATCAAGTTGAGCAAGGCGATAGCAATCATATCATCAAGCACATTACTCGTCCAATGTCAGCCTCTCCTAAATCGAGAAAAAATCGAATGTTTCCTAAATCGAGAAAAAAGATGCAATTTAGAGCCATCTCTGACAAAGTGAAAAAAAAAGAATTTATGGGAGTCTTGAAAGATGACAAAGACGGATGATGCAAAACACCAAAACCAGTCGGAAAGAAAATTATCTTAGGAAGCGACCATCAAACCACTAGCAACAATGGAATTGAAACACATAAAGGGAATCCAACTAATTGCTCTAATATCCCAGTTAGTTTATTTACAAAACTGAAGGAAAAATATCTCCAGAATGAACAAGAAAAATAGGAATACATTAACATAAAAAAGACGCCAAATAATAGTTTGACAAAGCAAACTAGCAGCAGCCGGACGTGCAGCGACACTTTTGATTTCGACCAGGGCAAAATATATCAGCCAACATTTACAGACACGGCAGACTGCACGCAGAAGCACATAGCAGAAGAAAGAGAAAAAATTTGAATTCAACTTAAGGGGCGGAACTCAGAATTGACGGGAAAAGGCATCACGGACACAAAGGAATTCAGTCAAAATGGCAAAAACCCCTGTCATCAAGGTACGATGCACGTCTAAATATTGGTGGATTTTTATTTTAATACGATTCATTGCCGAACTAGTTCAACCTTGTAGAGTCTATTCGTTTTTTTTTGTTTTGCCAAAACATCAATCTGCGATGATGTGTAAAAATAACTTATTGTCTGTTGAGCCCAAACAACATAGTGAGACTTCCTTGAGATGGAGATTTTCATGAGGTTGCAGTGAGAAAACATTACAATGACGCCAGGGACATGCAAGAGCAACTGTAAAAAGCTTCTACATAAGGTCCATTAATCCCAATGACCTCAGGCAAACAAATCCGAAACACCAAGTATGCCCAATTCATTTCATCCATGAAGTTCAAACTACAAAACTTGATTTTTTCCACACATATTCTCTGCAAGATTCTGTAAAACACACCCAGCTTGATACTTCCTTCGGATCTACTTAACAATCTCCACCCCTTTCAAGAAAAGGGGGAGATTCTTAAGTAGATCCTTTCCTTCCCTTGAACGATTAGTCGGGAAGAATAAAAACCAACAATTTTAAATTGATAACTTTTCACTTAAACAGAACTATTCGAAAAAAGCAGTTTAGTAAGAAATTATCAAACTTGAATATGCTGTGATTTATTACTTTTGTAATTATTTGCAGATGGTTAGAACCCCATGGCAAGAACTACTTAGGCATTTTTGTTCCGTTGTGAATCGTGAAAACAAATGTTGTCTAGAATCTTTCACAATCTCACTGTATTTCGAAAATGTCTTCTAAGGTTTTGATGAAGAACAATGTTATTTCGATAGTTTGTGTTAGTGAGTTGTATCGGTAGCCGGATTTTTTAATCTAGGCCTTCTGTAAATTATTTCCTACATACAGTTGGAAAAATTTATCAATTTGCTCAAATATTCTTTTTTTAACTAACGCGATTAGAGAAAAGTGGGAAAGAGAGAACTTATTAGGTGATTTTTATTCCGCTGGGAATTATAAGAAATAAAATACATTAGTGAAAATTAAAGTCCTTCATGCTTTTGTTGTCATTTGAAATTTCGTAATTGGAGAGGATAATATTTTGCCTGCCGTTGAAATCGAGATAACGTTGAAAAAAAAACATAAGTCAAACAGCGAAAAAATGAAACAATTTAAAAAAAATCAACGCAAATTAAGTTATTGATTAATTACTTTTACTATAGCCATTAAATTAGTCACTAGGAAACCATTCCAAGCATTCTGTTAATTAATCGAAAATTTGGAACAAAAAATGCGTTCACTGATTCAAAAAGGGAGTTTTTTTGCCTCAATGCTAACTCTAAACTTGTTTTGTGTTCTCCAGTTTTATTGCAACTTTTTAAAATAATAATACCTGGCCAGACATTTCTCCACCCTCTCCCTGTCCCTGTCAACTTGGGCCTCCTGGAGGTACTTTGGGTCGACGTGAGCCAGTTCCAGGGAGGAGTTGGTCAGCACATTCATGTAGGAGATCTCGTTGCTACATTGACAACAGAAGAGACGTTTAATAATAATAACAAGTAATAAAAAATTGAATTTAAGAATGAAAAACTCTAAGGGCCGACGGCCCATTAAATAAAAAGTCCGAGTATGGGATTGGTAGAGTTGATGAGAAATGCCACAAAACACCCTGCTTTCAGTAGAGCACGAGGAGGAAGAAATGGGCAATGGAGGGAGGCGGGCATTTCTTTTGAATCTGGTTGCCAAATAATTCCAAAGGTCCCCCTTTGGTACTTTTTTACGACATTTATTCCTGGTCACGCAACCGTACTATTTTATAATTATACCTTTAGTATCAGTGAAGAGCGCGCGCTGAAAAAAAAACACTTTCCTCAAAAGTCTACTTTATCGTCTTTTTAGAGCAAAAGCAGGGTCTTTACAGTGTTCTGAGAGAGCTCAGAAAATCAGTTTTGGTGACCTAAAACAAAAATTTGGCATAAATTGTCCGTCTCAAAAAACTCCAGCGCACGTCCCTGCCTGTTTTGCTGACGAATTTTAAAAAACTATTCCGCTCTCTTTGTTTTCAGTTATTCACCATAAAACCTTCCCCTATCTCAAATTTAGTATTTATTGTTTATACTGTCGTTTGTTCGTATATAAGTACTGACACAAGGGCCGATCTAAGATTTTCTTGGGGGGGCGGATTTTCAAAAAAAAATTCGAAAATTTTGTCGATTTTTTTTTAGGTTGACCAAATTGATTTTCGAGCTCCACCAAAGCACTAAAAAGTCCCAGTTTTGTCCAATTTTTCTGCGCCGCATGCAAACTTTGAAAAAAGGCGTTTTTAGGCACTTTTTGGAGAACTTTGACCAAAAAATCGCGTTTTTTTCCGCGCGCGCTCCCCCCTCAAAATTAGTGTATATTGGCGCCGAAGAAATTTTTTAGGGTCCGTCGCCAAAAATGGATGTTTCAAAATAGTACAAAGGGGACTCTTTGGGTCGGCAGGGGGTCGAATCTTCGAGAAGAGCGTCCCCCCCCCAAATCTGCCCCTGTACTGATATACTGACTATATTGGTGTCATTTGATTGAGGAAACAGCGGGTTAAAAACCAGACAAGAAGAAAAAAATACATATAATTGCCTCAACCTGATAGGAATAAAAGGTGCTCCATCATTCAGCACCGTCCGACTGGAATAAGTGGACGAAATGTTAGACCTCGGAAGAGTCGACCCATTACTCCTGAATCTCTTCCGCCTAGTACTATCTCTATCCCCCCTCTCTGCAGATGAAGAGGGGGACTCTCTCTGGCTCGTGCCCCCCTCGTTGTTCTCGCTCTGGTGCATTTCGGCTACGAAGGTCAGCCTTCGAGAAAGGTTCTCCGGGGTGAGAAGGGAGGTTCGAGACTCTGCCGTGTCGGAGAGGATTAGTTGGTGAACTTGGCTGACCACCTAAAAATAGTTTTGGCTAGACGAATGCCACAGTTTAAAAAATACATTAATATTTAGTTTTGTAATAATAACTTGGTCTTTTATAAGTTGGAAAATTTATATTCCCGAGCTTTTCCAGCATCGTGAAAATTTCGCTGTCGCCAAGCCCCGAGCGGAGATGGGTAAATTATATGGCGTCTTCAAAGATCGCGCATCATGGTCTCGCGACTTAAAATTTTCACTCGCACCCGGGTTAAATTCACGATATACTTATTTTGAATCGCGATGATGGCGACATAAGTCGGAAAGCATATACCTATGCTCGGGAATAAGGTAATTTGCACCGCCAGTGATTTTTGGGAAACTTGGTGAGTTTGGCTGTTTACTGTCAATGTATTGTACCCCTTAAGTAATTAAGTATTGAAATTATTTGAACGGGCGGAGTGTGAAAGCTCCCTGAAACTACAGTTTTACTTGAAAGAACTCCGAATGCTTAGAAGTTTTCCTGTACCTATCACCTCAATTAAGCACCTCAAACTGAAGTAAAATACTTCCTTTTAATTTGATTTAGAAGGTAAATGCCCTCTAGGCCATGTTTTAAAATTAAACTGCCCATTCTAACTCAAAACAACAAGGGTTTTGACTCAAAACAGCCTCGCGGGGAAACAGAGTTCCTCTTATTTACCTCTTGAATAGCATACTGGTCGTGAACTGTGTTATCAGATGACAACTGACAAATGACGTGTGTAAGGATTGTTATCTGCTGGTCTGAGTGCAAAATTGACTTTTGGAAGTCCAGTGGTGGGTTAAAATGTGACTGACACGCTTCCAGGACTAGTTGTTCCACGAAGGAATCTCCGGCAGGTGTGGTCACGTGATCGGTGGACGGGAATTCATCCCTGTCTAATTTAGCACCAATGGAGTCCAGACCTGGTTATAATCTTAGTTATAACTGAGAGAAAGAGAATATTTTGTCAATTATGGAGTTTTCTATGGATAAACTGTTATATGTGTGCTACTTCATAAAAATTAGCCCAAAAATGTATTAAAAAATTATAATTTTTATACTAAAAAGCGTACTAAAACTAGGTTACATACTCGAACCTAAATTGCTTCTTAAGATCCAAACTTTGTATAACTTTCCAAGCTCTTTTTTAAAAAAAAAAATCGGCATTCTTTGGAAGATTTCACCCAATAATTGAGTTCTTTCAGTGCAGTTAGGTGTTCGAATCCCTAATTTGCACTGAATGATAGAGTTGAATTCTACAAGATTCCCCAAGCAAAATAACTGTAATCCGATTATGTAGAAGGAAATCTGAAAAGTGATGTTTTTGTTATGCTTCAAACGAAACTGACCGGACACTCGTGATTGTCTTGTTGATGACACTGATGCACCATCTGGATTGTCTGGAGCCATCAACTGGCTTAAAAATTGGCTTCCTTTTGTACTTCTAGTTCCTCTTTCTGCCAGTTTGGAGTGCTTGCTCCGCTAAAATATGCAAGGATTTCTCTTTCATAACACGCTGACAATATTTTTATGATTTTTTCTCGAAGTTTATAGTTTTTTTTACTTTTTCATTTTCGGTTTTTTGGTCATTCTTTAAAAGTAAGCAGTAAAAATCGTGAAAAAAAAATTGTTCCATTTTTCCTCTATCTTCGCAATTTTTAATTCAACTGGTTTGAGGTTGTCAATTGAGCTCTTATGATTCATAAAAGTAAGAAAAACTAGATTATACCTAATTATGCAAAGTTATGCAGACTTTTGGAGGGGTTAAACGATTTTTATAAATTTTTTGTCCAAAAATTATCCAAACACAATACTTTCATCAGCAGATTGATCAGGTTTAGCCAACTTCTGATCATGATGTTACGAATATTAAAAAAAACTTACAGCTTAACCTAAAAAATTCATGGCCAAAAAGATTGTTTAGAAATTAGGCCTTCCTTTTCAGAAAAAAATTTACTGCCAAAATGTAGCAAACAAATTTTCTTAATGGTGAAAAAAATTGTTGTCAAAAGGGCAAACCATATCATTGTTTATGGTAAAAATACAGATTTACGAAAAAGATTTTTAATACGTTAAAAATTATAAGAGCAAGCTAACTGAAACATCAAATGTGTGTTTGTTGTGATTCATAAAAATGGTTTCTGTTAACTACTGCCACTGGACATAGAAGTTGCAACTTTTTGATTTCAGCGAAAACATGAACAATTTTTTCTTCACGTTTTGATCATTTGCTCTGCAACTATTCAAGATACAGGGTTCAAACTTTAATAAAAGGTAGATGAAACTATTTGAAAGGGCTTAATCCGGGCCAAAAAATGAGAAACCTTGTTTTGAAGGCGTAAATTAGTCAGCATTTCATAACTGGTTTTAGAGGTATTCCTGCTGTGAAAACAACCTCACAAACAATATGAGAAATTTGAAATTTTTTGGCTCAAATTAGTTGTATGGAAAGCTGATGAGCTTTAATGCTACCTATTATGCTACCTAAAAATGACAATTAACAAAATTAACAGAGTTACTAGGTCCTTCGTCGAGAAACGGTCATATCTGTTTTACGTCACATACACCAAAAGTTCTTGGGAGTTTAAACCAGAAAATTGGACAAAACTTACATACAACTCAACTGCTAATGAGACTCCTGAGCTCAGACTGTAATTTTCTGAAATATTTGCTGAAATGGTTTTCTGTTAACCGAAATCGATCGTCAGCGCAAAATTATTCATAAAACATTAGCCGTTTTGTAACGCCGGACCTAGTAACTCTGTTAGTTCTGTAATTTTTTCCTTTTTAGGTAACATAATGAGTATCTCAAGCTCATCAGCTTTCCAAAAAACTAATTTGAGCCCAAAAAACTCAAATTCCTCATTTTGTTTGTGAGGTTGTTTTCACAGCAAGAACACCTCTAAAACTAGTTATGAAACGCTGGCTAATTTACGCCTTCAAAACAAGTTTTCGCAAATTTTGGCCCGGTTAAGCCCTGCCCTTTCAAATTGTTGCATCTTCTTTTTGTTAAAATTTAAACCCTGTATCTTAAATAGTTGCAGAGAAAATGATCAGAACGTGAAGAAAAAGTTAGTTAATTTTTCCGCTGAAATCATAAAGTTGAATGTCGAGTGACTGTATCAGACTTAAAGGACACCGCAAACGCCGTTTTTTTTACCAACAGTGCACCTGAAGAAAACAAAAGAGATGTTAATACTTTAAAGAGAGGTACAAAAACTCCCACGAGGAACTGACAGGGCGTTTCCAGAATCGGGTCTTTTCTGTTATACGGCCCAAATTTACCAAAACGCTGAATGCGCTAATATCTTTTGCACGTAAGCTTCAAGTTTAGGAAAACGCGCCAGATTTTCAAATTAGTAGAAAAGGGAGAAATACTTTATAAGTTTACTTTCATAGTTAGAGCCAAACGATTGGTCATTTTTTTCGGCAACCGATCATAACGACGTAAATGTCCCTAAAACTGCTCATTTTGACCAATTACGATTTCCAAGGTCGCAATTTGGCATTACTTATAAAAATGACTTACTTTTGATTGTAGACTGAGCATTGAGATTGTCTTTTTGAGGCTATTATCGCCACCTATTCTCAGCAAACGAGGGCTCTGAAACAAGAAAGCAGAAAACTAAACCAAGGACGCTGTCTGCGCTGTCTACGCTTTTCCTTCCCGCATCAGGGATTTGACCCCCTTTGGCCCTTCGGTACTTTTTAGGGCAACCAAATTTGACTGATCGACACTAAAGTTTTTGAATGCCAATATATGCTATTTTTGAAGGAGAGGAGGCACCGAAAAACGCATTTTTTTAAAAAAAATTTCCAAAAAATGCCTAAAAACACGTTTTTTTCAAAAATTCTCATGCGGACGAAAATTCGTTAAAATAGGGTCTTTATAGTTGATTTGGGAGACCTCAATAAATCAATTTGGTCATTACGAGGCCAAACTGTGCACTGGATAGGCGCACAATTTTGGGTCTGTATGTTCCTAGATTCCAGGGACAAGTCTTTAAATAAGTTCCAAAATTTAAGTAGATTCGCGAAATTTGCAAAATGTAAGTGGGTTCTTACAATTTGCGAAAACCGCTCACAATTTGCGGAGTCCACTTACAATTTGCGGATTTCACTTACATTTGCGGATTTCGCGACAGCTTACCCGCATCTAAGAAAAGAGAAAAAAATGATTACAATGGATTTTTGTGGTGTAAGAACTGTCAATACAATCGATTCCCATGCTAGGCTTGACAACAAAATTGGATAAAAAACGGATTTAAATCCATTTTTATGGCAAAATCATAATGCATTATGAATAATTTGAAATCCATCATAATGGATTATAAAACAAGAACAAAATCATATTAAAATGGATTTTTTTTCCACTTTATTTTCGTTTCGCGCCGTGCAAAATTTTGCGAGAATTTCTGCATTTACCAAATGAGTAGTGCAAAATCTTTGCAAAGTGAGTGTACGTCCTATTCCTTTTCAAAACCTAAACTCAAATTGCAAAAAGATTTTGTTGACCTCTCCCCTAACATTTGGCCCTTTGCTCCCTTGCAACCCCCATTCCAACGTTTGCCTCTTTGCCCCGCCCCCACACTTGAACCCCCGCCCCACCTGGCCTTCTGGGGAACCCACCCCCACTCTGAATTACCCAGCCCCAACTGAATCATCCGACCCCCGCACCTGAACCAACAACCTACCCCCCCCTCCTTCTCCATCCACTTGAACCCCTCCACTCTCTGATCCGGTTCAGGTATGGTGAGTGTGTGGGGGGTTGGTTCGGTTGGGAATCATTTGGTGAAGGGGAGTTGGTTCAGGTGGGGGCAGGGTTGGGATTGGTTCAGGTGGTGGGATGGCGTGTGGGAACAGATGCGGCCAATTGTTGATAGGAACAAAATTCAGCTATTGAGTAACATAAAAAAAAGTTATCAAGTTTTCTAAATAATCAAAAATAAGCAACTTTAGTTTAAAACGTAGAAAAGACCTTATGTGCGTTGGAATTCGCATCTCAACAAAGTGAGAAAAATCGGTTATAATTGAATTTTTGTGTCAGTGTTCACAAAAGTGAAAAAAATTGATTATAATGGATTAAGAATGGGTTTTGTTTCCATGAAAAATAGTAATACTCCAATGCGGGCAAGCATATTAAACACATATATTTTTTATTTGTTCATGGATTCCACAAACTGGTTCCGGATTCCCCACATTTTGTTGCGGATTCCGCATGATTACTTGTTTTTGGAGCAATTTTGAGCAATACAGTGGTTTAGCTATTTGTCCGTGGAATCCAAAACAGCAGAGAGGATCAAAGAAAAATAGCAATGTTGCGGATTCCGCGACAAATCTGATTTGGGCCTGTTGCGGAATCCGTTTATAATGCACAGTTTGGCCTCGTAATGTTTTTGTAGCTGTCTTACGTGGTTTTAACGGATAAAAGCGCAATGTTATGATGTAAGGTATGAAAAATAAATCTGTTCACAATTGTTAGTTTTACGAATAAGCCATAAGACTCATTGCGGTGCGTCCTGCAATTGCGTCGTTATGATAAAAGTAGTTTATGAATTTGAAATTGAAGGAGTGGAAATTGGAAGTGGAAAAAAGCCGGTGAGAGATTTCAAAACCTGCAAAAAGGATAACTGGGCGATTAGTTCGAATAGAAAACGGATGAAAAAAGAACATTTGACCGGTTTCAGCAAAATTTGATGTTTTTTTTTCACTTTACAGCAAAGCCAAAAGAACACAAGTCTATTTGATAGAAAGCAGCCATTAAAATACTGATGCTGAAGTAACAATGGTCTTGCCTCTCAATCGGAAGGCCCTTGGTTCAAGGCCCACCATAATTATAATAAAAATAACAAATTTGTTTCAAGACATGCATTAATCCAACAATATAGAGAACTTATCATTGATAGAGTACCAACTTGAGCAAGCGCAGAAGGTAATTCAACCTGTTGAAGCGCCGCTGAGAACTTTCTATTAAGTACTGTTGCGATTTTTGCCTGTTGCGCAATCCGCTTACAATTCACAAAATGCACAGTTTGGCCGCCTCGTAATGGTCGACTAAAAAATGTTTTTAAATCAAACCCCCCTTTCAAAAAAACCCTAGATCTGATATGAACTACGATAGGTCACTAAAGATCTAAAATTTTGAGTTCCTCGAAGTTCGGAAACATTGCAACAAAACCTAAATTGGATATTCGTGGCAATTCAGCCATTTCCATAAAACTGATGAGAAAATAATTAAATAGATGCTGCCTCTCAAACCGATGGATTTTGACGATTGTCAGATCTCATTTTGGTTATCTCCGCCAAAATTTTTGCGGTATGGTTAACTTTCAACAAAGCAGAACGAACTTAAAACACAATTTTTTTTAGTAGTCCGTAAAACCGAATATTGGAAAATTAATAGAGTCGGAAAGATATCAAGAAAACGTTTGCATTGATTTTAATCAGGGGCGGATCTAGGATTTTCTCGAGGGGAGGGCGGATTTTCAAAAAGAAATCGAAAATTTTGTTTTGACGACCTTTTTTTTTTAGGTCGACCAAATTGATTTTTTGAGCTCTCCCAAATGTTTTGCCCCTATTTTGGCGAAATTTTCTGGCGAAATTTTTAATATTGTTTTTACAATGTTGTTCACGTATAACCCAGATCGGAATGTGACTAGCTTTTGACCATTTTTTTATCAGAACACCAGATTTTGTGAACAGATTTTTAGTTCGATAAACTTGTGTCGAGATAGGGCGAACTTTTCGTCAAGATAATTTCTTCAGTGGAACTGCGGTTTCTTTTGATTCGTAAAATGAAAAGACTATTGAATCATGAATAAATACAGAAAAACAACAAAAAAATGTTTTTTTTTTACATCAAAAGCTTGTTTGTAAGGATATATGTAAGGCCATTTATCCACTAGGGAAAAATCAACATACGATCTCTTCAACTCTTTGAGCAGTTTGAGAGTTGTTTTCCTGTTTAACTATTACATACATCCGATTTTTTTGGTAGTTTTTCTGGGATGATAACTTGTTTCGGCATTTGCGATCAGCGAACTCGAATTATGGTGGGCCGCAAACCATTGTTACTTAAGCATCAGTTTTTTAATGGCTGTGGTTATCTCATAGACATTTTGTTCTTTTGACTTTGCTGGAAGGCTTAACCAAAGTGAAAAAATAAACATGAAATTTTTGCCGAAAATTATCTTCTTTTCTTCCGAGCTCTTCTTTCCATCAGTTTTCTATCCGAACAATTTGCCTATTTATCCTTTTTCGCAGTTTTTGACATCTCTCACCGGCTTTTTTCCACTCCCAATTTCCACTCCTTCAAATTCAATTTGATAAACTACTTTTGTCATAAGGCCGCAATGTCATAACGCCGCAATGTCATAACGCCGCAATGTCATAGCATCTCAATGTCATAACTTCACAATGTCATAACGCCGCAATGTAATAGCATCTCAATGTCATAACGCCGCAATGTCATAACGCCGCAAGGTCATAGCATCTCAATGTCATAACGCCGCAATGTCATAACGCCGCAATGTCATAACACCTCAATGTCATAACGCCGCAATGTCATAACGCCGCAATGTCAAAACGCCGCAATGTCACAACGCCGCAATGTCATAACGCCGCAATGTCATAACGCCGCAATGTCATAGCATCTCAATGTCATAACGCCGCAATGTCATAACGCTGCAATGTCATAACGCCGCAATGTCATAGCATCTCAATGTCATAACGCCGCAATGTCATAACGCTGCAATGTCATAACGCCGCAATGTCATAACGCCGCAATGTCATAACGCCGCAATGTCATAGCATCTCAATGTCATAACGCCGCAATGTCAAAACGCCGCAATGTCATAGCATCTCAATGTCATAACGCCGCAATTTCATAAGGCCGCAATGTCATAACGGCGCAATGTCATAACGCCGCAATGTCATAACGCCGCAATGTCATAACGCCGCAATGTCATAACGCCGCAATGTCATAACGCCGCAATGTCATAGCATCTCAATGTCATAACGCCGCAATGCCATAAAGCCGCAATGTCATAACGCCGCAATGTCATAGCATCTCAATGTCATAATGCCGCAATGTCATAACGCCCCAATGTCATAACGCCGCAATGTCATAACGCCGCAATGTCATAGCATCTCAATGTCATAACGCCGCAATGTCATAACGCCGCAATGTCATAGCATCTCAATGTCATAACGCTGCAAAGTCATAACGCTGCAATGTCATAACGCCGCAATGTCATAACGCCGCAATGTCATAACGCCGCAATGTCATAACGCCGCAATGTCATAACGCCGCTTGTCATAACGCCGCAATGTCATAGCCTCTCAATGTCATAACGCCGCAATGTCATAACGCCGCAATGTCATAACGCCGCAAGGTCATAGCATCTCAATGTCATAACGCCGCACTGTCATAACGCCACAATGTCATAACGCCGCAATTAGTCTTATGGCTTATTCGTAAAACTAACAATTGTCAACAGATTTATTTTTTGTATATTACATCGTAACAACACGTATTTATCCTTTAAAACCACGTAGGACAGCTAAGAAAATAAAAAAAATGAAATGTGGGGGAAGTGGAAAAAGTCTCCTGACCTGTTGATTGGAGAGACATGAAGTGGATCCGACAGCGGGGGGAGCTGGGGGGTACTTGGCCGCAAATGTCTGTCTTCTAAGGGACAATGTCTGTTGATGCACACGTGAAGGTCTGAGAGATGGAGAGTTCTTTGGAGTAGACGTGTCTTGAGGACCAGCAAAGAGTGATATTTCTAAAAAAATATATATTTCAATTTGGAGAAAAATTGTTTTCCTATGCCTCCAGCTTGATTTGACAAATAAACTTATCATTCTTCTGCCAAGCATCGAAAACATTCTGACTAATTATTTTTACGCCAGCAGAAAATGAGAAATCAATTTTGGATAAAAAATTGGTTTGAAAAATTTGCAAAAAAAACGTGAAGAAAACGTTTTCACCAAAAGCAAAATATAGCCAACGGACAGTTGGAAAAGAGTCAATGAACGCAATAAAACAGAAAAAAAACCTGCCTGACTTGTTTTTTTTTAAATCTCAACTTTCGAATGCGAATTTTAAAAAACAATAGATACCCTTAGAGCTTTTTAAGTTTTTAGAACAATTTATGATTGGCACTCTTTCGATAAAATAACCCAATTTGAGAACACTGGATCAATAATTAAAATTTGTATTTTGCTGGAAAATCTAAAAATTTAAATCCAGTTTCAAAACTGGAAATTGATCACATTTCTTGTACCCTTTCAACTTTCCCTGTTCAATAGCGGAGTCTGCCCTCTTTTTAACAAAGAAAATGTACCGGTTTTAAAGAAAATCGAAAGCCAAACAAAAAATTAAAATTAAGCCTGAACAAATGTTAAGACTTTTCCTGAAAAAAAAACATCGATCGAGACCATATAAGAGTGTAAACTACGTTCAACTGGTCTTAAAAAACGCCAAATTGAGGTTGATAGCTTGTCGGTTTAGAAAATTCCTTGTCAATTTGAAGATATTTTAAGAAACATAGAATTTTTAAAGCGATTTTCTTCATATTTGGTTTTTTTTCGGTTTGTGATACCCGATACTCTGATCTCTTAAAGTAGTTCTTTTGTGCAAAAGAGTGTAAAGAGGACAAATGAAAAAATTATTCGGAGAAAACGAAAAAAACTTGAAAATTAAAACGCGTTTTTCTCAAGTTGAGTTCGTTTAGACAAAAAAAGTCAAGACAAATCTTGCTGAGAATTCTCGTAAATATAATTTGGTGCAGTTTTTTTGCAAAATTTGGGCCCTTAATTTTAGCTCAAAAATTATAGATTTTTGTTTTCTAGTCAATCAAACTTACGCGTTTAGTTGCTGATAAGAATAAATCACAGCGGGCCTCAAATGTAGCCCAACAATTTTTACAAGGAAAATAATCTTCTCAACTTGGTGTTATATTTGTTTTCGTTTGATAGCCAGCGGACCATTTGTTTTCGTATGATCACAGCGGGACTCAAATGTAGCTCAACAATTTTTACAAGGAATATAATCTGCTCAACTTGCTGTTAAATTTGTTTTCGTTTGATAGCCAGTATATTTTTTGGTATTATACTTTTTTTTAAAAAACTAGGGGTACACGAGAATCTCGCTGCGAAATAACTTTATCAGCAGTCAGTGAAATATTTTTACGTAGTTTTTGATTGACTAAAAAAGCCAAGAAAATCGTTTTTGGAGTATAAAGCTCGAGCCCAATTTTCGCAAAAGAAAACGCACCCTACTAAAATTTTCGACAAAATTGTATTTGCCAATTTTTTCTAACATCAATCCAATTTGAGACAAATACGTTATAATTGTCAAGTTTTTTTCGTTTTTGCCGGATAATTTAATTCAGCATTGTAATTCAATTAACTTGAATTGAAGAACTGAATTTTCATTTTCAGTTTTTCTCTTTGCAAGTGAGTCTAACATGTCAACTCTGTAAAGAACCAACTGCACCGCACACACTAATTCCTGTGTAATTGGAATGCTTATCTTGCATACGTTTGAAAAAAATGCAATTTTTGCAAAAACTTTTCCAAAACTAAGCCAAATCTTGCAAGCAAAATGCAAGAGAATTATTTTTCTTCCAAGATTTTTTGAATTCGGAGAACACTGGACTGGGTAGAAAACATTGCATCTGATCAGGAAGTTGGATAGCAGTTCATCTCTGTTTTTTTTGTAAGCTTCAATGAGAAATTTCTTTTTGAGAAATTTTGTTTCAGGAAGCGATGTTAGCAATGTTGCTTGAATATATTGGTGTTTTCTGCAATACGCCTTAAAATTATCACATTGCTAGTTGAAATTCTGTTTTTAACGACAATTTGGATTTCCAATTAGGTCGTAGTTTTTTCAAACCATCGCCTTATTTTCAGCATTATAATCGAAGCCATCATTTTTGAGAATTAGAATTGAGTGTTCACAATAACTAAAACTAGAGTTTGATGACAAATAACAGTGAGGTGAAAAAGGGCATAAGAAAAGAATTTTGAGTTTAGAGGAGAAAGATTTACAAGAAATTCCGAGCAGTAAAAATTTTTAAAAATGAAAAAGAAGCTGAAAAATAGAGAAAATCGTCAATGGAAACCAAACACTAACTTTCAACAATAGTAGACAATCTTAGCATCAAAAAAAAACCATGACACAGGATGGTCTCAACCTGACCGAACAAAAAGCAAAATCTGACAAGTCAACTCCAAAGACAAAAAATTAAATGATTTTGGGAAGATGTGAAATCTTAGTTAAAACACACAAAATTATCATCTCATAGACAAAAAGAGTTTCAAATTTTCTCGGTTTCGTTTTTTTCCCGTTCTCTAATTTCGTATATTTTATTTTTTGGTACCTCCGCAGCCTTTTGTTTCTCTCTCTGCTTATGTGCTGCTCGTTTTCTCTATTTCAACTGTCATTTCAAAGCAACATCCTCTCAAATTGCTTTGGTTACGGGGGCGGATCTAGGATTTGCTCGAGAGGGGGCGGGGCGGATTTTCTAAAATGTTTCAAAAATTTTGTCGACCTTTTTTTAGGTCAACCAAAATGATTTTCCGAGCTCTCCCAAAGCCCTACAAAGACCCTGTTGCGGCCAATTTTGTTAAAAGAAAACAGACCAAAAAAGGCGTTTTTAGGCACTTTTTGGAAAGTTTTGACCTAAAAACCGCGCTATTTTGGCGCGCGCTCGCCCTCAAAATTAGTATAAATTGGCACCAAAGGCGCCTTTAGAAAACTTTAGGGTCCGTTCCCAAAAATGGATATCTTAAAATAGTACAAAGGTGAGACCCTTTGGGTCGGCGGGGGGTCAAATCCCTGAGGGAAGGAATGTCCGCCCACTGCCCCCCCCCCCCCCCCCCTAAATCCGCCCGTTTGGTTATCTTCCTTAAAGTTGAACTGTCCGACTTTGCTTTTCGTTCGTTCATGTTAAGACCACCGTATGTCATGGTCATGGTTTTCTTTGATGTTAGGATTATCCAGCATTGTTGAAAATGTTCGATTTACATTGACAGTTCTATGTTCTCTCTTGGATATCAGTTCCTGGTCTTTTTTCCGTTTTCTTTGATGTATGTACTCGGGGGGGGGGGGGGGGGGGGTTGTATTAAGCTCTCCTCGAGGTTGGCTCTTATCCATGTTTTTTGCCTGATTTATTTTTTTGTTTATTGACCGATTTTTTAGTTTTCTTAACCATCTTTCAACTGTGCAGTTTTTAGTTCTTTCGAACAATCGATAACATTCAAAATAGGAAAATTTCAGAAAATGAAAGAGCGGGGGACAGGAAAATAGCCAGGAAATCAGAGAGAGCTTTTCATTTACACTTACCTGAATTTGTCGTCTCTGATTCTTGGCTCTGGGGCAAATGTTTGTCCAAATCAAGGTCGCATTTTTGTGCTAATCGGTTCACCAATTCATAGTATGAGAGCTGAAAACAAAGTTCTAAAATTTGCAAATTTTAATGTGACAAGTTTGATGACAAAAAGCCGTCACTTTGCAAAATGATTGATGAAAATTTTTGTTACAAAATTACATGAAGTTTGAAAGAGACATATAACAAGAGTCAACGACTTAATCTCGAAGCTATCAGTCAATAAATATGTTCGTTCAATCAATAAATCATACAATATGCATTGAAAATTCTTGAAGCGGTAAAGAAATGACGGGTACTTTCTGTTATAAAAAATGGGTGCTTACCAATACCAGAGCGAATTTAGAATGGGTGGGGTGGACGCTCTTATTTGAACTCAGATATTGACCCTCTCACCAACCAAAGGGTGCCCTTTGGTATTTTTTTATGACATCCATTTTAAGCCGATCAACCCTAAAATTTTTCTGAAGATGCCTTTTGCGTCAATATTTACTACATTTGATGGGGCGGAGCCCGCGCCAAAAAACACAGTTTTTCGGTCAAAATTTTCCAAAAAACCAAAAAAAAGCTCAAAAACGGCATTTTTGACATGTTTTTTTCTTCAAAATTTTGCCTGCTGCGCATTATTTTTAGTGAAAAAAAGGTCATGATATTGTTCTGGGAAAGTTCGAAAATCAATTTGGTCGACCTAACAAAAAAAATCGACAAGAAAAAAAGGTCGACCTATGAAAAAAAAGGTCTACCATTTTTTTTCTCAAATCCTAGAGGGACAATCCGCCCCTGATCTTTAGAGACGCGGTCGTTTTAGCTTTTCCTTTCTTTCAACCATTGAAAGTTAAGGATTAAAATGAAAATTAAAAGACAACAGAAATGTGGAGCTTGGGCTGTATAACAGAAAAAATCCAAATTGATGCAACCTCCAAAATTGTTGCAACCCGAAGTGATTTCAATGCTCTTTATTCGGTGTAGTATTACATGAAAACACATCCGGTTTGTATTCTTTTCATGTAGCTTATCCACAAAACTCGTGGGTTATTTTTGGAAGCCAATCCGTTTAATTTTTCCAATTTTGCTTTGATGAAAAGTACGCCTGAAAAGTAATCGATTTCTTGATTAAGATGTGATAAAAAGTCAGACATATACTCCCATCAGCCAAATGTAACTATTATTAGTGCTTAGCTAATTTTAGGCGAATCAAGTTGCAGAGCTAAACTCAGTTCGACAAGCCGTTTTAACGGGGACCAGCCTATTAGCATGTGTGTCGATTAGCATGCCCATGTAAAAAAATGTTCAGTAGTTTGAAGATTAAATATTTCACATTTTGTTTGCTCGAAATTGCAAGTATGGAACTGCGCTTATGTTCAGTAGTTTGAAGATTAAATATTTTACATTTTGTTTGCTCGAAATTGCAAGTTTTGAACTGCGCTTATTTAGCCGAAATTTGTTTTAACCGAAAGTGAAGTTCTAAATACCCTAACAAATCAAATGGTTTGCAAAAATATCTGAAATATTAAGCTTGTTTGTTTTAAAGAGTTTTAAATTTTTAATCTAGACAATTTTGACGGGCAGTTTTTTATCATTTGACAACTATTGATGACCTGAGCTCGAATTCAGAAAGATATTTCATCTGCGATTTTCTTATGAAAAATAGGGTATGAAGATACTCGTTTTGCTCAAATCACTAGGTTTAAAAAATGTCAAAAAACTGTTTGTATAAATTTTCTTTATATTTTTGAAACTGAAACCAACGATTTTTTATTCAATCAATTTTCATTCAATCGGTTTTTTATTGCGCGTTTTTATCCCAAATTATCTACTTGTGCACATTTTTTTACTTGGATGATTTGAAATCTTTTTTTTTGAACTGTGACTCAAAAATTATCAGAAACTAATAACAGAATAAGTGAAAGCTCTAACAAACTTTTGCTAGAAGCAACACGTTGATTTAAACTGCACCAAGATGAGTTTAATTGTTTTTTAGAAACAAAGCAACATATGAAAATGGCAACATGAAAAATAACGCAGGCATGGTTCGAAAAACGTAGACGGAAAGTTAAAGCGCGGGGTTGTTTTTTTCTTCAAACTTTTTAAGACTTTTTGAGAGATCAATTTAAAATTAAAAGAAGACTGCTCGTATAACAGGGAGGAGCCCTGAATGTTCCGACTGCACTTTAAAAGGCCAATTTGAAAGTTTTTTTCTGCTGCAAAAATGACAAAATATTCGAAAAAAAAAGAAAAACACATTTTCGTTTAAATTATCCCCCAACACAAAAATGAAAAGTATAAAAGAATGTATTTAGCGTCCTGTTGTTCCAAAAAAGGATGAATAATTATGCATGGGATGGTTATTTTTCTTTCAGATCAATTTTAGATAAGTTGACTGCGTATGGGCATCGATCCATAAATTTTGTGATTGCCAAGCGAGTAAGCTTGCACTTGACTAAAGTGTGGCTTTGCTGCTGGTTAGAAATTTTGATAGTTTATTTCAATACGCAAATTTTTTGTGCGTGGCAAGTTATCCGCATTCATAATTAGTGAGGAAAACTAATTGGTCTTATTAGTAATTGGTCTTTGATATTATCAGCCTAAGTTTGTAATTTGCCAAGATTTCATTTCCATAAACGTTTCGCGACCAACAATGAGCAGTCGGAAACTTCAGGGTTTATTCAGCGGAGCATTCAATTTAGAACGCATTAACCCGCCGCTCACGCGTGTTATAAGAACGCAGTATATTGCATATTAATTATCCCAAATTGACCAAATTAGCAATTTTTAAACCTCCATGACTTTCCGAAAAACGATCACAGGTGAAAAAATCAGCTGATTTAGTCCCCCTTTGTACTATTGTGAATAACCATTTTTTGCCCGCTTTTGTTTGAAAAAATTGCCTGCGGTGCAGAAAATTTGGTCAAAATGGGGTCTTTATAGCGGTTTGGGAGAGCTCAGAAAATCAATTTGTTCGACCTAAGAAAAAGTTCGAAATTTTTGATTTTTTTTGAAATCCGCTTTTTTTTAAAATTCGTAGATCCGACCTTTTTAGTTTCAGCTCAGGAAAACAATATCCTCCAGATGTTATAAAAAATATTTTAAAAAAGGTTATAAAATTATATTTTCTCGAGGAGGCGGATTTTCAAAAAAATTTCAAAACATTTGTCGATCTTTATTTTACTCAACCAAATTGATTCTCTGAGCTCTCCCAAATCAGAAAAAAGCCCCAGTTTGACCAAATTTTCTGCACCGCAGGCGATTTTTTTTTTAAAAAATGCAGGCCAAAAAAGGCGTTTTGGGCAATCTAGTTTTTTCGGCGCGCGCTCCCCCCTCAAGTTTAGTTTATATTGGCGTCAAAACTCCTTTTTTGTTGTGCATAGCATGTTTATGCATTCCTTGATCAATGCCTGACAATTTCAAAAATCTTATTTTTAAAGTAATCATCGTTGAAAAGAATGCCAAAGTTTAAAAGTTTGATAGTTTCGTTATATGCTTTCTGTAAGACAATACGTTATATGTTTCCAATGCAATTTTAATGCAAGATGGTCAAACTTTTGGCTACTCTATTTTGAATAATCAAGGTTTTGTCACTTGTGTTTGGTTACAACCAAAAAATGTTGAGAAATTAAAATGTAAAAAAGCAATATTTTGGTTTATGGAAAAATGGTAGTCATTCAACTTCCATATACGAAAAGTCACTAAACACAGAGGCGGATCTAGGATTTTCTCGAGGGGGGCGGATTCTCAAAAAATTTCTGGAAGTTTTGATGACGACCTCTTTTTTAGGTCGACCAAATTGGTTTTACGAACTCTCCTAAAGCACTAAAAAGACACTGTTTTGCCCAAATTTTCTACGCCGCAGGAAATATTTTGAAAAAACAGGTCAAACAAAGCCGTTTTTGGACAATTTGCGGAAAATTGTGACAAAAAATTCGCGTTGTTCTTGGCGCGCGTTCCCCTCAAAGTTAGTATATATTGGCGCCAAAGGCGCCTTTAGAAAAATTTTAATGTCGGTCGGCCAAAAATAGATTTCTTATAAAGTACCAAAAGGTGGACCTTTTGGTCGAAAAGGGGTCGAATCCCTAAGGGGAAGGCGTTCCATATTTGAAAATTGTATGACTAGCACCTTTGGTCAACCCGGGTTTTGGCCCGAAGTCGGTTTTAGAAAAATTTAAGGTCAGTCAGCTAAAAATGGATAATTCAAAATAAAACAAAGGGCGACCCTTTCGGTCAGTAGGCGGTCGAATTCCTGAGGTGTGGGGGACGCAAGCGTCCGCTTCCCGCGGCCCCTTCCTAAATCCGCTGTTGGCTTCACCCCCATTCTAGGGTTTCAATTCACAAGAGAGTGCAGTTATCCAGGAGAAAATAAATTTCTGTTTCGATACATTGTTCAAAAAAGTGGTAAAATCTGTCCACATCTTGAAAATGCAGTAAGAGTCTAAGTGGCGAGTACCTTGGTGTTGTACTCGGAGCCGACTAATCTCCTGGCGAGAATTGCGGGCGGAACGGTCGATTGAATGACGTCACAAAACGAGATGAGTTCGGTAAAGGACAACTTCTGATCACTGTCTTTGTCACACAGCGAGAACACATCCTCCAAACTATTAGAGAGAACATCCATTCGCGTTTGTGAATAAATTGGAAATTTAATTTTCGAGAACATTCTAGAAGATAGCGAAAACTCTGGTAAAACTAATCTTAAGTGATTGCAAAAACAAAGAAAAGATAAAATTGAACTGAGCTGAAACCAAGATTCAAGTTAGTTAGTGTAGATAGATAGTGTTTCTTCAGGAGCGCTTTTGGTCTTCTGGAACAAGTTTCGAGTATAGGTAGTTATAATACTACAGCTATAGTTGTAAAATTTGGCTTGTCCGCTTGATTGCAAAGTTCTTTTTGACAGAGGGTTCCAAAAGGTAAGGATTTGAATGGTAATAAAGCAAAAGAATTTCGAACACTTTTCCATTAAATTGCGCAGAAAGAACTTGCAGAAGATTGTTGTCTAACATTAGAAAACGAATGTTCAGAAAAATTAACATTAAGTTTGGGAAATAAAATTTAGTTTGAAAGCTTCGGTTGATATTTAAAACGGCGAAATTGAAAGCGGAATTGATTCTGAGTATTGTCCCGTTGGAGCCAAAATGACCTTTTAGACTTTGATCACATGATTAAATTTGAAAGACCATTCGCGGGGTTCTTTTCCCAGTTACTATTGTGTAAGTATAGAGGAGAAGATATACGCTTTCAAAGTTATCTCGCTAAATTGCGAATTTGACCATTTTGAATGTGTAGTTGTGTCGTTTTATAAGAGTTGTTTGAATTTTAAGAAGAATTTGCCTCAAAACTTCCATTGAAGCAACTGTTTGCTGGTCTAATAAATGAAACTATATTTGTCATGAAATATGAATGAAACTATAAAAATCTCTATTGCGAATTTAACTCTTATGGAAAAACGTTGTTTCCATTTAAAAGCGAAAACAGTTATTTCTTCTTGTTTCAGATTTTTGTCTATATGTGCGACGCGTGCTTTATAAAAAAAATAAAAAGAGTGAAAATAAAAAGAAGGATATGAAAACTCAATGCGTTTTAGTTCCCTGTAAAATTCAGCACTATTTTTCCATGGAAAAAAAAGAGGTGGTCGCTCTTTGTGGAATATACCATTGAAAAGCAGCTTAGATATTACCAATGTGTACATTTTGAACGCTAGATCGCCTTATACGCTCAACCTTTTTCCTTACAAGGTCGCGCTCCCACACTTAAGTGCATCCTATGTGTTGTTTTTCAGCCCGGGAATATATCAGAGAGGTCTATTAGCAGAACAAGTCAAAGAGCAGAAAATACAATATATAATCAAAGATCAATGTTCACTTTTGTTTCACCCTTTTTTTCTTTTCCCGCTGAATTTATAATTTTTTGCATATTTGGTTTCAGTAATTCAGAAATAAGTTGTCAGTGCAGAAATAGGTTTATTTTAGAAATTATTCTCTGCTGTGTTCTGCTGTCGATGTGTTCAAAAACTAGTAATTTGTTTTTTATCCCTCTTCTATCAGCGAAATACCATTTCCTGTGACATTTTCAGTTTTAATTTATCCCCGCTAAGTTGCGTTCCACTGACGGGGAATTTTCATTTTTAATTTGTCAAAAGTACATGCATTCGACGGGGGGGGGGGTCATCTCATTCAGTATAGATCATTTATTGTACTCTCACAACATGCACACTTCAGTATTTTAGCTTAAAACTTCTCTAGAATCCCCCAAGTTTTTATTTCCTTTGCATTTTCCTGCCTGTTGTGTGTTATCAATACTTAAAATCAAAGCTCAAACGGAGCAAAAAAAGTTTATACGTCATGGCCCACCGAAAAAGTATGCGTAATCAGGTGTGCAGGTAGTCAATGATACGCAAAACACAATCGGAGAACAAAGAAAGGGCACACTCGGAATTAATTAGAAAAAGTCACACTAGTTGAAATTTGGTTACGTAGCAGTACTTAGACAACAGCGTATTCAAACTCGTCACTAAACAGACAAATACTCTTTTAACCAATCAGAATCGAGACAAGGAAAACATTAACCATTATTAATTATTTATCTTACAAAAATCATAATAAACTCTTTTCACATCAGGGATTATTCAATAGACATTTGTCAATTTACATAATTCTGACATGCTAGGACATCAAGTCTTATAGGTCTAGACAAGTGATGCTTAGCTGTACAACTTTTAGGAAGTTCTAAGAAGTTTCTACTGTGAACTACTAGCAGTTGTCCAAACCCTTCAACCCCCTTCTTTTTGAAAAAAAAGATCTATCATTTCTTTATTATTTGTGATGTATAAACTCTTTAACTCTTTTATGTTTAAATATATCAATCTCAGAATCCAAAATTAAGTTGTTTAGGAATTCAAGTTGAAATCCTTTCGTAAAAGTTTAACTGAAGTTTTGAATACCTTGTAATTGTGCAACTGTTTCACTGAGCATATCTTGTAGGTTTCTTAAAACTTTTTAATTGATCGATATCTCCGTTTTCTTAAAATTTTTTTTAGAATTCAGTTTTGTTTCATTTCAAGTTTTTATAGTGATGTTGTATTAGCTGTGCTACAGTATAACCTCATATTGCAGAAAATTGATTGAAATTTTTGATCTTTACTCGGCTTAGATTAACAGATTTTTTGCTTTCATCCGATAATTCTCGCAAAGTATTAGAAAGATTCTAGCGTTTTGCTTAACATCTTTTTCAAGCTTGTTTTGGTAAAATTGTTTTCGTTTCTTGTCTATCAATTTTGTAATGCATTTCTATTTTTTGCAAATTTCACTTTACTTTATCACTTCCTGAGCTAATGTGATTTTTAGAATTTTGCTAGCCAACTTTTTGATTTCTTTATCTATCCATGTTTTTGCTTTCTTTTGTGTCTTGTCTTAGTTTGGACGAAATGGTTTATGTTTGTTGTAATTATCTAATGAATGAATTGAAAAGACTCATTGCTCTCTTAGTTTGTAATATCTTCGTCGCGTGCTTTTGTATTTATTGTAGAAATTCAAGAGTTATTTTTCCGCAAATTGTCAATTTTTTATTGTGATCCAAGTTTTAAATATTTCTCCTTGGGAAATTTCATCAGGGGAATCCCTTTTGGTTTCTTTTCATGTAATTACCGTTGAATGATCTGTAATCAATATATCCGACACCATAGCAACTGTAGAAAAATTTTGAGCACAACACTTTTTTTGCAGTTTTTGGAAAAAATCGTTTGGCGAGTGGATTCTAAATTGTTTTGACATTTTAAACTAAAATCATTTAGACAATCCTCGTATGCATTTTCAATTTGAGGTTTTAAATGATCAAGATTGATGTCTCCACGAAAAACATGTTTATCATCGGGTCCTACATCCATCCAATACAAGTAATTGTCTAAAATTTTCGTTGAATCAATCATTAAACTTAAATAAACTTAAATATTTAAACAACCTACCGTAGAAAATAAACTGTTTTGTTTATTCAAGAAAATTTCAATAGTCAAGAGTTGATACAAGAGCTAGAGTAAAAAACTGTTTCATTTGTTTGCTTTTCAGCTCAATTCTGATTGGTTAATAAAGTATTTGTCTGCTTGCCTGCGAGAATGAATATGTGGTTGTCTTAATACAGATCGTACTCCTTAAACTTTAAACTAGTATTAGTAGTTCTATACTTGAAATCAAATAGACAATTTTTGAACCTCAGTGTAAACTAACTGACTATAGATTTTTATTATAGATAATAGAGCTGCCTATTCATGCTGGAACTGGAAGAGGTGGTTGATCTGGGCTGACCAAGTTTTGCTGCTTGCACGTTAAAATCATGTCAATCAGAATTGTGTTTTTTATTCTTTTTGTGTTTTATATTTTATTGTGTTTTTATTGTGTTTAGCACTATTCGAATAAAAATTTGGGATCTACTTAACAATTTCCCCTCTTGGTATCTACTTAAGAATCGCCAACCCTATTAAAAAAAGAAGTTAATTAGCACTGAGCTTGCTATTGAGAATTGGAATTTTGCTGCATTCTGATTGGTCGAAAATGTGTTATTTTAATCTTCTTAACATTTGCCCCCCTTTCTTAAAAAGGGGGGGGGGGGGCAAATGTTAAGTAGATTCAAAATTTGTTTAAAATACTTTTTTCTTTCTGTATCAGCTATTCTTTTTATCATTCTCCTCTCACGCTGTCTTCAAGATGCTTGATAAGTTTTTAACAGTTTTTAACAATTTTTTAACAGTTTTAATACAATTTAACATAATGATCATATTTTCAGGTGCAGATGGAGCGAGTGATTAGTTTTATAGCAGTAAAGGAATAAACCTAAGCCAATTGATTATGTGGCAATTTTCGTGGTTGATTATGTTAGTCTGAAATCAGTTGATCTTCCAACGGACCTTTTTCAGACTATCCTACAGGGTGACCTGAAGAGATTGAAAACGGTAATTCTGCAGTTCCATAAACTCAGTCTAAGAAAAAAAAAATTAAACACAAGAATTTGACAATTTTTTTTTGCAAAAATGGTGTAATCGAATTTTAAAAGCTATTTTTTTGGCATAAAAAAATTCGGTGTATCACCATAAAAAAAATTTTTGACAAAAAAGGCTAATCATGAAACTTGCATAAAAAGAAATTGTATGACTAGCATTTTTTTGTAGGCGAACTCAATAAATTTACAGTAGTTATATATAACAACAAGACTGCTCGTATCAGGGCGAAGTCCTGAATGTTCCGACTGCCTTGTAAGGTTTATGGAGCCGTAAAAACATTAATTTACCGTTTCTCTCGATAACGTTTTTTAAAAACGCTCAAAAAACTTTTTTCCCTTATTTTGCTTTTTTGTATGCCTTGTGCAAAATATGATTAAATAAAATTTCAAATTTAAAAAGGTAGGCCCTTTTGAAAATTTTTGGCATCTTTTAGAAGTTCGCTACTTTCATTATTTTGTTTGTGCAAAACAAGACATCTAGGTGATATGTTACAATAGGTGGTAGTTTTGAGTGTAGTGCATGTATTGACGTTGAGAACTATAATGCATAATATAGTCATTTCATTTTCAATCACTTATACTATTATAAAGATAGTTTTTGTAAATACATTCCTATGCCAGATGAAATGCTATTCAAAATTTCAAAATTTACACATCTTTGCCAAAAAATTTAGCTTTTGAAAGAAATTATAAAAAATGTGCGGAGTATAACAAAAGCGATCCAGCTATTCAAATTTAACCTACCACCTTTTTTAATATATCACCGACATCTATACTCAGGTCGCTTCCTATGCAATGTACATGCAAGAACATTGAACCATGCAATACGCATGGCACTCTTTCGGTTTATGGAAAAAGCTACTCCTACAGTTTTCATAAAGGGAAAATAACTTTCTACACCTTTCTCGCTTTTCTGCATTTATTGAATTGCTTGAAAAGTTTATGGTTCGCATTTTTCAAACTGGAAACTGGTTGATTAGCATGTTTTGCCATCAAGGGCATGTAGCCAATTTGACCTGCAATGTTTGACTCGGGGGCTGAGATGAAGGAAAAGGCAACTCCCCTTCTCAGGCTAGTCAATCAACTGATTTCTCAAATTTTTACAGCAACCATTGTCATTGACATTGAAATTTTTCACTATATTTCATAAAAATTTGAAAAAAAAATCCGTTTTTTAAAAAAAACTATCGCCGTTTTTCTTGCAGTCAGTTTACAATTTTCCATCCGTATGAAAAATTAAACTAAAGTTGAGGTGAAAGTGTTTTAAAAATTCAGTTTAATTGCTTGTGCACTTCTTTCCTTATGAATTTTCTGTAATGTCCTAATCTTTGTTCGGAAGTTTCACAAAATTGATTTTAATCTCTTAATTTTCCAAAAACTTGATCTCAAAAAATTGTGTTTTTTGTCTTATAAGGTTGCTGTCGAAAGAGACTCTCTAGTTGTGAGATCTGTGCCTCAATATTTTACAAAACGAATTTCAATGAGATTCGTTCGCATTAGTTGAAAGGTTCCCACCGTAAAAAAAATAAATCAGCCCAACTAATCATCAAACTGAGATAATATGCTCATGCTTTGTTATTTTGAAAACGTGTGCATCATGAACAAAAATAAATAAGAAAAACAAAAAAGAGAAATTATTGTCAA